TGCACAATACATTTTTAAGCAATAAATTGCACAAAAATACAGAATATAGCAAAAATAATCCAAACTGAAACTCATATTTATTTATATTTATTTGGTTTATTGTTTTATTTGTCAGAAGTGTCAATAAAATTTTTATGGCCTTTTTTTTCATGGTTTTACAGGGTTAAGTTGGCTGTTGAATTTACTAGTAAATTAGTACTTTGGTTAGATCTCAGATCTTTGGGTTTTCCTTTGCCATTTGAACTTTTTGCAGTTTTATTGTTGTAAATTTGATTTTGCCTTTTCAGTCAGTGCAGCTTTAATGCTCATTTGGGCTGCATCAATCCACAAGAGGTGATACGTACATAAAGCTGTGTTCAGCTGATTAAACCATATGGCAGCTGGTCTAAAGTAAGATAACACTGCTGTGAGAGCAGCATGTCGATATTGGTTTCTCTTGTGTGTGACGAGGTTGGTCAATATGCCCATATAGTTAAATGAGATCTCTGTATTGTTGTGCAGGTCATTATGTCAGTGGGTGCCTGCTTTGTGTTGAGCACACATAGAGACGTCAGTGGACTGTCAGGGGATACTGGTGATGGAAGTAAAATGAACATGATCTGTTTTACTCTTTGGCTCACGGACACCGTGTGGAATCAGAGTTTTAGCAGTTTTTAAAATTGCGGGATTGCCACCTCAGACAGAAGTACAGATCTGTTCTGGTCCCTGAGGAGGATTCGGTTTATAACAGAGGGCGTCTGTGGACGTTGACTGCAATGACAACTCATTGACAAGACATCGACAAAAAAGCTGTTCAGACACTGAAGAATACAGTCTGGCATCCCCACCGTTAGCCGGTCATGTAATGTGACTCTATCAGCAAAGACATTTTAAAAGGCTGTCTGCAGCTGAGCAATGCACCAGCTTTAATCCTGCTAGAGTGCAGCCAAGTTGTCATACACACTGATATACAGTCACACACAAACATTCTCAGATTAACCTGATCAAGTTAATCTGATTAACACACATTATAAAATCTACTAATCCCTGCTCGTCCTTCTACAGAGCTGAACGCTCACCAAGAGAAGCACAAGTGCATCATCTCCTCAGTTATTAGACCAGATCCACATTATCCACAAACAAAACTGTTTCCCTTCCATTCATTTACTGCTTTATGAAAATCGTAGCAGTTGAGCATCCAGCACACAGATGAGTGGCCTGTCACTTAGGATAAGTGTTTGCTGGATTTATTGGACCCTTACAGCAGTTACTATTTATATACATATATATCACATTTATGCATAAGTGAGTTAAAGCGTTCTTTTAGAAAACTGGACTGCAGCACTGATTCCAAGTCTTAGACATATTGACTTCAGTAGTCAACAACATAGCCCAGGTGTGGTTTTACAGTTACAGTTTTACAATTTCCTTCTTGGCAAACAGCATAAAAAATACCAAAAAAGTTGCA